AGACACTCCTTTTTGTTTTGTGTAGCTTTGGATCAAAGTTTATAAATAAAGTTTAACAAAATTGTAAAATAATTAAGTCTTCTGTCTGTAAAACTGATTTTTCAAACAAAATTTAATGTGCAATCACTCTTTCAATAATTCTTAAACATAGCACAAAATTGTAGACATTTGGGAGCATTAATCAACATAATTTATTTTTGTCTTAAACATTATTACCTACAACAAAGGTAACCTAAATTCTTTTAGATTACGTGTTGACTAAAATGGTATAACTAGAACAGATGAAGGTTGTAATTGATTGCACTTCTAAGTTGACAAAGTCAATAGAACAAATTCACATAAAAAGTAACTCCAGTTTTATTGAAACAAAAAGAGAAAACACAGAATTTGTCATGATTTATTCCATTTAAATTACTCTTGGGCGGCATTTTTGACTCTTTTTTGCCTACGATTTTGGACGTGCATTACTCCATTGCTTTTTTAATTTGCTAAAAAGGTTAGTTGCTTTGTTGAAAACTTTTGTTGTATGCATGTTATTGGCTTTTGTGTATGCATTTTATTGGCTTTTGCGTATGCATGTTTTTGGCTTTTAGGTATCCATGTATTATTGACTTTTGAATATGCATGTGATAGTTGTGTTATTCTAATTGGCATGTTAGATTATAAGTATGAAATCATTAAGTGAAACTTAGTTCCCGTTTGAAATTTAACACAACCGATTAATCTTTTAATTGTTTGTATTAAATTTTGAATTGTCCGATTGGACAGTTTGGAAAAATTATTTTTGATAATTTGCTATAACATGTACGTTGAAGTTTATGGATAAGATTGATAAAATTTCGGTTCAATATTTGTGTTGTTCTCCGGATGCATATTTGATTGTGGTCATCCTTGACTACTCTCATTTCGTGTATTTCGGAGACCAATGCGAAATGCTGCCGAAATCTTATCAAATTTATGATGTAGACTTCTTTGCATGTGTCTTAGAAATTTATGAAAAATAATTTTTCTGAATGGGTAGGGCCTAACCTTGTGAGAGTTAAAAAACTAAAACTGATGAAGTATGTTACGAACATAGTATGGATCGAAGCTGGATGAATGAACGTCGCATCAGTGAAGAATATGAGAAGGGTGTTTCGGAGTTCTTGCAATATGTTGAACAAAATACTAAGATGTGAACGGGACATATTTGTGTCCTTGTGTTCGTTGTCTTAATCAAATACGGCAAGACTTAGGCAATGTGCGTGACCATCTATTCATGTTCGGCATAATGAGAACTTATACCATTTGGACTTGGCATGGAGAAGTACTGGACCAGCCTACCACGTCACGAGGAACAGATTATGTGGAAGAATGGATGAGTGATCATTTAAAGGACATGATACCTGATGTCGGTGAAAATAATTTTGGAAGAGCTAATTTGTATTATTCTCTTATAAATGATTCAAAGCAACCGTTGTTCCCAGGGTGCTCAAACTTTACACGTCTGTCTGCAATTTTGAAGTTGTTTAGTTTAAAAGTCATATGATCAATAACACCTAAATCCATTATTCAATCACTACCCGTAGTAACAACACAAAGATTAAGGGCATAGTTAGATATAATTGACTTGGTCACAAATCCGACAGTAGTAAAAATATAACTCTTGGAAGTCATGAAAGTCCCAAAATAATGTTTCTGTGATTGATTTTTATCGGAAGAGCCATCAGAAATATTTATTAAAAAAAGAAACACTAATTCTTATATTGTAGAAAATATCCGTGTTTAGCTCTTGATATCGTATGAACAAGTTTAAAGAATAATTTTAATATATTATTTCAAATATTAGTATACCATGTGATTCTCATCTATTTAAAAAATAACATCTGTACAAACACTAGTACAATAAAGGGAAACGACATCGGTTATTTTTGCTCATAGACAGCGGTTCATCAACCGAGGTATATTCAGTCGAGGTAAAAAGTCTCCTACTTTTTTCCTCGGGTGAAAACCGAAGCATAAAAGGATAGGATACTGCCTCGGTTCTTCCCCAACCGAAGTCATAATTATTTTGTTTTTTTTTTATTTTTTTTCGTTAGATTTTATGGCTCGGTTTAGATTGAACCGAGGCCGTATGAAGTCCATTTTTGTTTTTTTTTTCATCCGCTTTCTGCTTCTCTACTTTTTAATTCATATTTTTATTTTTTAAATTTTAAATAGGGTATTCAGAATAATATATATATATAAAGCATGAAAATATAAATGGTGCTCTCCTCTTTAGAAAGGCGTGTACCATTAAGAATTTGAGTCCCAGAGATCGGAAAGTTCCACAGGTTTCTCAACTTTTCCGATTTAATTATTTCATGTTTGTTCAAATTCAAATTATGTCATTCTTTAACTGTTATAGCTCTTTCCGTGCAAATCCATAAATTTAGGTTTTTCTCAACCCCTAAATATTCATCTACCCCACTGCCGGTCATCTACCCCTAAATATTCTTTTGAAAAATTTTCTTCAATCGTGTTTTATTTTTTGGAACAGAGATGTCATCGTATGAAAATCTTGTTGGTGGGAAATTGAAGCTGAAGGGGACAACGCTGGATGTGGCGGGTGGGGTGAAGAAGAAGAAGAACAAGAGGAACCAAGATCAACTTCTGCAAGTTGCCCATTATGACTCAAATAGAATTTTTTACCCTGACCTAGATAAGAAGCAAGCAGATAAGAAACAAGCAGAGGAAAAATACCCATTATTTAAATTATAATAATGTCTAAATTATAGCTAAAAATATTTTACGTATCTTAACAAATATCACTCATACCAATAATATAATGTTTGTTCAATTGAAAAAAAAATATAAATCGAACTACACGAACTTAATTATATCCTGTATGAAATTAAAACTTCATAAATTAGATTGGAATTTATATTAAACCATATCATTATAATATTGAAACTCTATAATAAAATAAAATAAGTAATGATTGTAAATTAATATTATAACAGATACTTGAAATATCATAAAATATTTAAAAGCATCAATGAATTTGGGTTAATTTCTATAATATAATTTTTTTTTTCATATGTAAATATTATAATCACCAAATAAATGTAAAATAAATAAAAATAAACTTAGTAATTAATATAAACAATACTAATACAGTATACACAATACAAATAATATTAAAGTGAGTATAATATTTAGAAAACAAAGCGTTTTAGATAATAGTCTAAAACGAAAAATAAATTTCAACAGTAAATTGCTACTCTTACAGTTATATTAAAAAAGAAAAATAAAATACAATAAGATTAATGACTGATATACATGACTCCTTTTTCTATTCTATTTTGACACGGTCTTTTCGTTACAACTTGGCGGAGACTCTGAGTAAACGCAAATGGTGTCCGGCACTCGAATATAATTTTTTTAGTATTTCATAAAATATAAAATATAAGCGACAAAAATTTAAGAGAATCCTTTTATTGAAATCATTTATTGAAAATATGAAAACTGAAAAATAGAAGTTACATATGTTTAATTACAATGTTGAATATAAAAGAGAAATGTGAGTAATACAAAATTTAACCAAAAACTTAATAAAAATTCATAACAGAAAGTTATAATAGAAAATTAAGAAAGAATATTAGAAAATATTTTTAACATTTCTCTTAAATTGGATATAAAGATTATAAAATTCCAAGTTAAAAGTAACATTTGGAAGGTAGTAAGAAGAAGAACTTAATAATATTATTTTTTTATGGATAAACTTGAAAAATGGTGAAAAGAAAATAAAGACGAAAAGTATGAAAATTGATTAATATAATACTATATGAATGTTTAATAAAACACAAGTGAAAGAAAGTTTGAAAAGAATCTTTTATCAAAAATATAAAAACTAAATTATTTTACATAAACATGCTTGAATATAAAAATAATATAAACAATAAAAAATTATAATAGAAAACCCAACGTAAAATCATAATAGAAACCTTATAAAAGAATCATAAAATATACTTAAAATATTATAAAATATTTAAAAGCATCAATAAATTTCGGTCAATATCTATAATATAAATTTTTTCATTTGTTAATATTATAATCACTAAATAAATGTTAAACAAATAAAAATAAACTTAGTAATTAATATAAAAAATACTAGTACAGTATACACAATACAAATAATATTAAAGTGAGATAATATTTAGAAAACGAAGCGTTTCAGACAGTAGTCTAAAACGAAAAATAATTTAAAATGTCGTAAAACAATTATAGTAAAAGATAAACTTCAATAATAAATTGATACTCTTATATTCAAAATTAAAACAAAAAAAAAAAACAAAATTAGAAATAGAACTAAATTGCATAAAAACAAAGTTTTGTTCCGTATATGAAGGGTAAATGACTGATATGGACGTGACCCTGTTTTGTATTCTATTTTGGCACTGCCTTTTGTTACAACTTGCGGAGACTCTGTGTAAACGTGTGGGACACAGGAATACAAATAATGCAAGAATTAAACATTTTCCCAACTAAACAGTTCAATCTAAGACAAAAAAAAAAAAAAAAAAGTACACTTCAAAATTAGAAATTTTTTACAAATACACTTTTTTCTTGAGAAATATTCCGACAACACCCACGGACTAAATCATGAAGAAAATTTTCTATAATTATTCGTTATAGAACTATATCCTTTTTTCCAGGTCATAATTCAGCTTCAGGGGCCTGAATTCTGAACCCGGATTTACGCTCACCATGCTCAAAACACGGTTGGATTTACTCTCATCCGAAATCAATAAAAAGAAAAACAAAAAGTAGATAAGCTGTAGCAAATAATGCATACATGATAGCCCTATCATAGACAAGGACTGTGTTGAAACAATCAACCAAAAAGTGAACAAGAGAGGTCCAGTTGACTGGTTCCAAAGCAAAGTTCCTTCACCTCACATGCACTATCAATAAATCTGAACCAGCATTTCGTTTGTATTATAAATATCTGCATGTTCATTCAGTTCAACACAACACTTGCCCACCACTGTCTACTTTACTCATCATGACCCTATTGAGACTCATTTTGCTCTTATGTTTCCTACTTACTCATTTTCATCACATCCTATGTGACAGTAACACAGACAGAGAAGCCCTTCTTTCTTTCAAATCTCAAGTCACTGACCCTAAAAATGCTCTCTCTGGGTGGTCCACACACTCCAATCACTGCACCTGGTATGGTGTCACATGCTCCAAAGTTGGAAACAGGGTCCAATATCTTAATCTACGAGGACTTTCCCTCTCTGGCAAACTCTCCCCTCACCTTTCCAACCTCACTTTCCTACACTCACTCGACCTTTCCAACAATACTTTTCATGGCCAAATTCCTCAATCATTTGGCAATCTCTCTCTTCTCAGTACCATTCTATTATCTTCCAACAATCTCAGTGGTACTATTCCACCACAACTGGGTTATCTCCACCGTCTACAAAGTTTAGACTTTTCTGTCAATAATCTCACTGGTCAGATTCCTCCATCATTTGCCAATCTCTCTTCTCTTCAGAATCTTTCCTTGGCAAGAAACCATTTGGAGGGGGAGATTCCAACTGAACTTGGTAATCTCCGCAATCTTTCCTTTCTTCAAATCTCAGAAAACCATTTCTCTGGCAAGTTTCCCACTTCTATCTTCAACATGTCTTCCTTAGTCTTTTTATCCGTGACAGAAAACAATCTTACAGGTGAGTTACCACAAAATTTTGGCCATTTTCTTCCAAATTTAAAGATTCTATACCTGGCAACTAATATGTTTGAAGGAGTAATTCCGAATTCCATATCCAATGCCTCACATCTTCAAGAGATTGACTTTGCCAACAATATGTTTACTGGGCCCATACCTCTATTCTGCAACTTAAAAAACCTTACCCGCCTCATTCTTGGTAATAATTTTCTCTCTTCCACAACTTCGTTAAATTTTCAGTTCTTTGATTGCCTTAGAAACTCTACCAAGTTGCAGGAACTCCGGATCTATGGAAACCACTTGACTGGGGAGCTTCCAAAATCTTTTGCTAATCTGTCATCAAATCTCCAACATTTATGTGTTGCTGATAACTCTTTTTTTGGCAGCATTCCTCAAGGAATGAAGAAATTTGAAAATATCATATCCTTGTCCTTTGAATATAATTTTTTCACTGGGGAGTTACCATCAGAAATAGGAGCACTAAACAATCTACAGCAACTTGTGATAAACAACAACAGATTGTCTGGGCACATTCCAGACACTTTTGGCAATCTAACAAATCTGTTTAACCTTGCAATGGGAAATAACCAACTCTCGGGTAGAATACAACAAAGTATTGGACAATGCAAGAGATTAAATTATCTTTACATGAATATGAATAGATTTGGTGGGACCTTACCAGATGAGATTTTTCAACTTCCTAGCTTAATTACGTTGTATTTAGCAGGAAACTCTCTGCAGGGTCCGCTACCTCCTATGGTGGGCACCATGAAACAGCTTGAGACCATGGATATTTCTGACAACCAGTTGTCAGGGAACATTCCTGTGGAAATAGGGGGGTGTTTGAGCTTGAAGTCGCTAACGATGGCAAGAAACAAATTCAATGGTTCGATCCCCACAAAAATTGGGAATTTAGCATCCCTTGAGACTTTGGATTTATCATTAAACAGTCTCACTGGTGCTATTCCTGAAAGTTTAGGACAGCTCGAGTATATACAGAAATTAAATTTGTCTTTCAACCATTTGGAAGGGGAGGTTCCTATGAAAGGTCTTTTTACGAACCTTACCAAATTTGATCTTCGAGGTAACAATCAACTCTGTAGCCTTAACAAGGAAATTGTCCAGAATTTTGGAGTACTCTTGTGTGCTGTTGGCAAAAAGAAAAGAAAGATTTTACTGCCTATCATTCTTGCAGTCGTTGGTGCTGTTGCTTTGTTCATTTCAACGCTCTTTCTATTTTGGACAATGACGTCTGGAGATAAGAAAAGAAAAGAAGGGAAAACTAGTGTGTCATCTGCCCCTCTTAAAGGGCTGCCTCAAAATATTTCTTACGGCGATATTCTCACTGCCACAAACAACTTTGCAGCTGAAAACTTGATCGGAAAAGGAGGCTTTGGTTCTGTGTATAAGGGTGTGTTCAGGTTCAGCACTGGGGAAACCGCCACTCTTGCTGTCAAAGTCCTGGACCTGCAGCAAAGCAGAGCTTCCAAGAGTTTCGTTGCTGAGTGCGAAGCTTTGAAAAATGTCAGGCATCGGAACCTAGTAAAGGTTATCACTTCTTGCTCCAGCCTTGATTATAAAGGAGAGGAATTTAAGGCCCTTGTCATGCAATTCATGCCCAATGGCAACTTGGACATGAAAATACACCCGGAAGATGAAGAGTCGGGATCTTTTCTAACCTTGATGCAAAGACTGAACATTGCCATTGATGTTGCTTGTGCTATGGAGTACTTGCACCATGGCTGCGACCCACCGATAGTTCATTGTGATCTGAAACCTGCCAATGTCCTTCTCGATGAAAATATGGTGGCACATATTGCAGATTTTGGATTAGCAAGGTTTCTCTCCCAAAATACATCAGAGAAGCAAAGCACTCTAGGGCTGAAAGGATCAATCGGCTACATTGCCCCAGGTACAAATTAATCGACTTTCCTTTTTCTCTTGCAGTTTCCTTTATTTGTTATATGTACAGAACTAACATACGCTCATAAAATATGGGGATGATATGCTTCAGAATATGGTCAAGGAGGCAAGGCTTCAACTGAGGGCGATGTGTACAGCTTTGGGACTCTTCTGTTAGAGATGTTTACGGCCAAAAAACCAACTGATGAAATATTCAAAGAAGGATTGAGCGTAAGCAAATTTTTGTCAGCCATGGATGAGAATGAAATGCTGAAAGTCGTTGATAGAAGGCTTATTGATGGTTATGGATATTGGAAACAAAGCTCAAGCAGTGAGGATTATAGCGATGAACTTAACGGAAAAACAGATTGGATGCATAATGCGGAGGAGTGCATAGCTGATGTGATAAGACTTGGGTTTTGTTGCATGGCTGATCAACCCAAAGAACGATGGAGCATGAGAGACGCCTCATCAAAATTGCAAACAATTAAGCACTCTATGCTGCCCTTTCAACTTTAGTCCTATGCCAACTGCATGTGTCCTGCAATCTTTTAAAAGGAGAATAACCAGTGAAAAATGATGCACTTACAAAAATATAGATATTATAGATGTAGTATAATAGAGGTATGAAAGATAAATAAGTAAATCAGTTTCGAAAATATAAGTGTTGCCTAAGTTCATTTTTCCTTCCTCTCAGTTATAGTGGAAACATTGGCTAAACGCAAAATTAAGTCGAATGATCATATGAATGTTTTCTTTTCTATTGGTAAAAGGAAAAGTGAACATCCTTGAGGTTACGAAAAATCAACATGTAGCCTTTGATATGGTGAACCTCTAGCCATCTCGCATTTCCCACTACAAAACATTGCAGCCTTTGATCTAGTGACCGAGCCAAATGAGATTCTTTTATGCAAACTACTGGGATTGTCCTGCATAATTTTTAAGGCTTGGCTACAAGTAGCCTAACAGAGGTTAAAATTGGAAACCAGCATTTCATCAAGCATTTATGAGTTATCCACTAATAAGATTAAGCACACAATGACTGCATGATTCTATACCAGATCTGGGGCAGTCACCAAGTTCAATATGTGCTCCTCACCCTGTCGGATACCTGCTACCATCATCCCCTTGTTAAAAAATCTAAGCCATCTAGACAGCACCATTTCACTGTACCCATTTCCACTGTACAAGATAAAGTGCATTTTGGCACAAAGGAAGGAAGCGTATTAATGTCACAACAGTACTATTAGACCACAAATTTTATACATACTATTGGATTCAAATACCAGCCTGAACCTGAATATGTGAAATTGGTTTTCTTGATATTTATCCATGCCCAAACTTTTATTTGAGGTAAATTAAGGATCTTCTACGTAACAGGTTTTCCACTTAAAATTTATATTTCTTTCTTTGATTTCAAGTTGTCTATACGATTGTCATTAACATGCTCTTCCATATAATCAACATCTATATATATTATATTACTGTGCTGATAAAAAAATAGCATGCCTTGAAGATATTTATAAGAGAGAAAGTTGATATTTGAATGTGTGTCTGTGTGTCTTATTATATAGTGGATATATATATAAATTAGTATGATCTAAATTAGATATGTAATTATACATATCATAATTATTTAATAACTTAATTATAGGGAATCAATTAGTTTAGTTACAATAGATTAATTGATAATTGACATAATTTCAGGAAAATAATATAGATTCTATCACACTCTCGCAGTCTAAGTGGGAGGTTTGTGCACTATTTTGTGCACAAAATATCTATCTCAATATATTTTGTGTACTAATATTGCACAAGATTATCAGGCAGATAAATGACATTAACATTATCATAATATACCAAAGTAGCTTGAAGGAGAGGGAGATTATGGAACCAACAAGATCCTATAACAATATTTGTAGTACCTCAATATTCAGCCTTTACATTAGAATGAGAGAGAGAAAAAGAAAGAGAGAGAGAGTATGTTAGCACTTTCAAGACCAGGAGATAAGGTTGTTCTAGAAACACATAGTAACTAGATGTGGAGCATCTGGTGTCAGGACATCCATCCCAATCAATATCAATGTAAGAAATAAGTTTCTCAATAAAGACCGGATAGAGGTGCAAACCATATTATAAGGTACCTTGAACATACCACAGGCGTTTCAATGTTAGCATGTCCTTAGTGTAGAGGCATGCATATGAAGACAGACATGTTAAATAACATAGCCAATGTCAGGACAAGGCATTTGCTTTAGACTATAAAGAGATTTCCTCAGACAACAAACATAATCATGATGAACGGGATCACGGAAACTGAACGATTGATGCATGTATATAGTCACATGTAGATCACCATGGAGAAAAGTATTTTGAACATCTAACTGATGAATTAGCTAGGATCTGGTGAAAGCAATGGTGAGAACTGCACGAATGGTCATGGATTTCACCACATATATAACTAAATGTCTCATCACAATCCACATCTGCAATTTAAGACCTGCCATCACCTATAAGACGAGCTTTATAATGCTCAAAATAGCCATTAATTTTTTTTCATGTTTGAAAATCCACACATAACGAATGATATTAACATTACAAGGTCGTGGAACAAAATCCCACTTATTATTTTTAATTAGAGCATCAACTTCAGACTACATGACAAATTTCCAGTTAGGGTCGATAAAGCAAGGGTTGAATTTTTGGGAAGAGTTGATATTATAGTGTCGGTGAAGGGAACATAAAATTTAAAGAGCTTTATGGATTTGTAGACACTAACCATGCTACAGGTGGCCATGGTCCTAGTAAAAGAGGCAGGTTGTGATGGAGGGGTAAGGTTCGAAGGCAGGGTATGCTGGTCTGAAGTAGAAGAGGTAGATAGGGTGGTCATCGAGGTTGATGTGTTGGATGAAGGGGAGCGTAATCTTATAGGTTGTGGGTTAGGCAAAGGCTCTGGGTCAGAGTTGGACCAGGGATAAAAAAGGGAAGGATATATGCCATCAATGAAACTGTCATTAGTAAAGATGGGGGAGGAAGGCATAAGAGTAAAAGGAAATTGTGTTTCATTACAAATGACATATTGTGATATTATTACCTTTCTATGGGACAAATCAAAACATTTATAAACTCTGTGATTAAGGGATAACCCAAGAAAGCATATAAAGTCGCGATTGTGGTTGTAGTTTGTTAATGTAAGGAAAGAGGAACAAAGGATAATAAATACAACCAAAGACCCGCAAATGCATATAGGAGGAATCATGATGATACAGAAGTTGAGTGAGAGACCAATTAGACAAGGCCTTCTGAGGAAGTATATTAAGGAGATAAATGGTAATTTGAAGGGCGTGATGCCAAAACGAAAGAGGAACGGATGAATGAGCGAGGATAATATGAATCATGTTGTTAATGGTTTAGATTTTATTTTATGCTTTGCTATTTTAAGAAGAAGTATGGGAGCAAGAGAATCGGAAGAGAACCATTATCATCACAAAATCGATGAAACAACACATTGTCGTACTCACTGTCCTTTATCACATTAAAACATTTAGGCTTAATACCTCTTTTGGTCTCTCGAAAGAGTGGGATTGTTCAAAGTGGTCCTACCTTTTTTAAAAAGTTTGAAACGGTAACTTGTGAAAAATCGGGTCAAGTTATTCCTTTTTGGTTACGGCGTCAAAATTTTAATGGTGCAGCTGCCTCCTTGGCCAAAACTTAATGAGTTGTCCACTTTTTTTCATACGTGGCACACTGACGTAATATAACGTGTCAATTTTGAATTTAAAAAAAAAGTTGCTTGCCACATCACCTTCATATTCCACCTCCAGAAACGCCAAAGCCACACATCGTCGTCGTCAACACCTCAAACCACCGATAAGGCTACCAAATTCTTCCTAACAACCAGATTACATTTTCCTGCTCCATGTGCAACTGCAACGATACTAAAAAACCACCATCATCTTCTCCGCTAGACNGTAACTTGTGAAAAATCGGGTCAAGTTAATCCTTTTTGGTTACGGCGTCAAAATTTTAATGGTGCAGCTGCCTCCTTGGCCAAAACTTAATGAGTTGTCCACTTTTTTTCATACGTGGCACACTGACGTAATATAACGTGTCAATTTTGAATTTAAAAAAAAAGTTGCTTGCCACATCACCTTCATATTCCACCTCCAGAAACGCCAAAGCCACACATCGTCGTCGTCAACACCTCAAACCACCGATAAGGCTACCAAATTCTTCCTAACAACCAGATTACATTTTCCTGCTCCATGTGCAACTGCAACGATACTAAAAAACCACCATCATCTTCTCCGCTAGACTTTTGAAAAAACTCAGAAACAAAAATGCGAGCTCCTCCACCAATCTCCTCCTTCGATACTTGCAAGAAACCACAAAAACCTAAAGAAACTCAAATCAAGCCTCATCCACAGCCACCGAGAACCTGCGAAAACCAAATCCCAGATGAACACTAATCACAGGACAGGAAACCCCAAATTAGGAACCCTAATCGCGAGTTCATTGCGAATAAAAAAACGTCCAACCCTCTCGCAAAAATCACTCAACCAAAATTCGTCATTAGCGCATCAAACTCTTCGAACCTACAAAATGGTGAACATACTTTGGGATTGGATCCATAGAATTTAGTGCCTGTGAATGTTATAAACAATCATGAATTTTGGCCACACCAATTTGTTATGGAAAAAGGTGTTCTGATTATCTCTTAAAAGTAGAAGAAAGATGGGGTGTTGTCCAATGTATGGATGCAAAGAAGGGTACTGTAAAGGTACAATGGAAAAATATTTTCATATGTAACCCAGATAAATTGACTGGAGAAAAATTGGAGGAAACTGTGAGTGCTTATGAACTTGTAGAGCACCCAGATTACTCCTGCTTTTTTGGTGATATAATGTTCAAAGCGGCTCAAAAATAGCTTGGCAACCAAATTGATAAAGAAATAGAAAAATTAGTGACAGACTTGAATGCAAAGGCTATTACCAAAAACGGGAACCCAATAGGTTATCAGGATGAGTTCCCTGATAATTATTCCATGTCCTGTATTGGCAATGTTACTGGTTTCAAAGATGATATGAGTTATGCTTTTCAATTTGATCTTCAAATTTCACCTTCAACGACATAAACACTGACTCCAATTTCAACTCCACTTTTATTAGAATGTTTAATCCCAAATCCCGATTTCATTGTAACCCTAACCCCTCTTTTTTTAACCCTTCTCAATTTTTTTGTCCAATTTTTTATTTTACACCTCATTCACCCTCACAGTGCCACGCAATCACAAAAACTGGACACCTCGTTATGTTTTGTCCAGGGGACACATGCACCGTTAAAATTTTTACGCCGTAACCAAAAATGATTAACTTGACCCGATTTTTCACAAGTTGGGACCGCTTCGAACTTTTTAAAAAAGGTAGAACCACTTTGAACAATCTCCCTCTTTCGAGGGACCAAAAGAGGTATTAAGCCAAACATGTATCTTTTTCGCAAAAATTGTGTTTTAATTTAAATAGTGAGAGATGTGAGCTTTTCAAAAAACTTAAGATTTAATACCTAAAGGAAATGTCCAACAAAATATTTAAAAAGATGATGTCTA